CGTGGAAATGACCTTTTTGAGTTACTGAGGCAAGTGTTTGGAGAGGATTATTGGTAGGATGATTTTTTGCGGACTAATTTGAGTATTCTTATGAAGCATTTGAGCTAAGAGCTCAGTGATGCTCTAACAAAAGTGGAATTTTGGAAAATTTGAGCAACATCTTGATGAGGGAGAGAGTTTTCTCGAGCCCTAAGGTGTTGGTGGGCTGTTTGTTTAGTTGTTCAAACGAATTGCTCAATCAAGGTTGGAAGAGGGCTGCTAGAAAGATCCCTGAATAGAAAGGAATCACCTTTCCGGCTGTGGATGTTATAACTGATTGAGTGGTATAGAATTGTATTAGCAGTAGATTTAGTCTTAGTGAGTGCCATCAATTTCGCTATTCATGGTTGCTCTTTATTTCATCGCATTTTCAAAGAGTAGAGGGTGGGTTAAGTAAGGCATAGCGCGCAGCGAGTCAAAGAGGCGCAGTCAAGCACGATCGTAGCCGGTAATCTGTGAAAGAAGTGGACTTAGTCCATGCCTGTTAGCATTCAGTCAAGTGAGACACTATACTTCTAAGGCATTCAAGACGAATTCCTAGTCCACAGTGCTCACATTTAGATATTGGATAGGGGTTAGAGTTTCCATCTTTAGGGAGGCGGCCCAATGCCGAAGGAATTGCCTGTATAGAGATTGAAAAATGAATAAATTTAACGACAATCAGCTGCCTATGGTGCTCCAAGCATCAAAGTGCCTAAACCCGCCACACACAATGGTATGAGGAATTCCACAAATGTGGAGAACTTTCTATTTGGCTTTGAGTAATACTTTGAGGCCATGAAAACTAGGAAAGCAATAAAGAAAAGAATGTTAAAGTTACAACGCAAGAGATCTTATATATAAAGAAGGAATTATCATTGTTTTGGCTATTGGCATTGTTTTGGCTATTGATTTCTAAGTAATTACCCCATAGATCCTATATCTATCTATATAAAGAAGGAATTATCATTGTTTTGGCTATTGGCATTGTTTGAGGACGAAATGTTTGATTGTAACACGTATGTTTTTAAGAAAAAAATCGTGGGAAGATTCACCAAAACTCTTAATTGGACCCTTCCTCTAGTGCCAGTTTGTTGATAGTGGATTGTTACGAAACTAATTAAGTGTGGATAAGTAGTAATTTGATAAGGAAACTGGGTAACGTAATTGTTAATAGGTATCACCATGTAAACGAGAGATCAGTATAGTTCAATGATTGAGAGGGAATAAGTATGTGACTAAGTATATTTGAAAAGATGAGTTTCCAGTGTTTCTCATTTGTTTTGTTTTGTTTTTTTCTTTTTTTTTTTATTTTATGTTAGTAAGGGTATTCTTGTCATTTTTGGGTGCGGTAAAATGAAAATGGGTGCGGTAATTAGTATTTCAGTAAAAAAAATTCACTTTCCCAAAAAAATAGATAAGTATGTAGTAGAAAAATCAAAATGGCTGCAGCTGCATGCCAAAAAATTATGATTGCAAAACAGGAGGCTATCAAATCAGTGGAGAAAAAAGATGCAAGATTTTTTTTTACTTTTTAATAGTCTGCAATCACACACAGAAACACATTAGGAGGTACGAAATATAAAAAATAAAATAAAACAATTTAATTAAAATTTATCTGATTAAATAAAATGACACACATGAATGCCGGGAAAGCATCCGAGCGCGCTGCGAAACCCAAAAACACATGGGAAGAATTAATAAACGAAAATAATCGAAACAGCCTGAAATGAAGAAAAATAAATTGTACCAAATGACCATAGATGAACTGAGAAAGGCATTAAATCGGCGGAGGAAGGATGAGCATACGGTGAATTTTGTCGGCAGATTTTGGAAACCCCAAACCGAAAACGACCATAATGTTATTTTCTTACGGATGCCAGAAATTTGGGCCGCCAAAACAAACCCCGAGGAATTGCCAAATTAAAAAAAGAAACGTTTGGGCCGGCCCCAAAAGAAGTCCCAACAAATTGAAGAAAACAAAATTTAAAAGAAGGCAACAAAGACCGATAAACGCACGGTCGGGGTGTCCACGTGTCACCAACACACACAGTCTCCAGTTTTCTTATATAGTAAGACTAGTACGACACCCGTGTACTACACGGGTTGTTTGAAAAAAAAAATATAAAACATAAAATAATAAAAAAACCACATGAACTATTTCAATGTATTTGTATAGATATTCTAAAAAGATTTAAATAATTTATTTACCATGGTGTTAATCAAAATTTATTTTATTTTTATTTCAACTCTTTAAAATATATTAGAAAGATCATGAAATATTCTATAACTATTTCAATGTATTTTTATAGATATTATAAAAATATTTAAATAATTTATTACCATGGATTGAAAAGATATAATGTGCAAGTGGTTATATACTTTTTGTAAAATTATAGTAGTTTTTTAATTTTAACTATATAAAAAAGTTATTGTTTACATTAATTATATAAATAAAATAATATGTAAAGCTAAATTTTTTATTTTGGTTTACACGATATATAAGAATCCTATTTATTTTGGAGTTTGAGGATTTACACGGCATATAAGAAATTAAGTCTTTTATTTTAAACAATTAGGGAATGTATCCGAACCAAAAGCCGAAGCATGTAATGTTGCCAAGTAAGCTTCCGAAACGTGCGAGACAGCCATTTAGGCTCAGCACGTTTTTAAATTATATTAAGAGGAGATAAGAAGGTAGATTTCTTATATAGTAAGAAGGTAGATATATCCTATATTTTAATTGAGCATTATTTTATAATCTAATTTATATTTTTTTTTTTTTTTTGNTAAATTGCGAAATTACTTCCAACAGGTATTTGCATAAATTAAAGTGCGGAAAGTAAATTGTAGAAAGTAAATTGCGGAATTACTTCCAGCAGGTATTTGCATAAACTAAGAGCGGAATTTAGAATTTATGGGGCTTAAAGACAACCATAAGGTACTTAATTAAATTAGTTTTTGTTAGTTATGGGGCTTGAAGCCAACCATATATTTTAATAGTAGTAGTAGTAGTAGTAGTAGTAGTAGTAGTAGTAGTAGTAGTAGTAGTAAGAATAATAATAATAATAATAATAATAATAATAATAATAATAATAATAATAATAATAATAATAATAATAAAGGTCATCAATGTTGTGACTAGGATACTTGTTCCATTTCTAATGGATAAGTGTATTTTTTTTGCGTTAAAAATTAATTAAAAATTATTAAAATTCATATTTTTTTTTCATTTGCTATAAATAGACACCACATTTGTTATATTTTGACACACAATAGCAATTTCTAAATAAATAAAAATAAAATAATTATGTTAGGTCGTGTTGGGTTGGGGATAAATTTAATTTGAGTTTAAATGTTGCCTTGTACAAGTGAATGAGAGAAATAATTTTTAATTATTATGTTGAGTTGAGTTGAATTGAGTTGTGGATAAATATGGTCACATGGACGATTGGATATAAATTAAAATCGATTTTAATTAGATTTGAGTTAAAGTGACCTGATTTTAAATAAAGTTGATTGAGAGAAATTTTGAATTGGATTTTAAATAATATTTAAAATGCAATGATTAAAGTTGATGTGATATAAAAATATAAAAGAATTATTAAAATTGTAGATAATTAAAAATATGTGAGTGGACGAATAGTGAATTAAAGTTGATGTGATATGTTAGGATACTTGATTGATAATATTTTGTTATATTAATAATATTAATGAGAATTGGGTTGGACTAAATTTGAGTTGAATTTTGTGTTTAAAAAAAATTTTGATTGATCAAAACCGGTTTTAATCTTTATTCAATCGCGCCCTCATGGTCTCATTTCATAATAGGTTAATATCTTTTTATTCAACAAACAGTAAAGGATAAAGGTAAGAACAAATTAGTATGTAGCATGCTTGACTTTTATTTTCCAGATATTGTATGCAGTTCAATAATAGCTTCAGTCTTATTATTTCTAAATACATGAACGAAGGATTACAGAGGTCGAAGTAGACTATAGTTGGGTTGTCTCAAGTAGCGACTTGGGATGACCTTATGATGCTCGAGCTAAAGAATGTCGTAAGTGCACCTCAATTAGCATCCCAAGATGACGTGACCATGCTTGAGCTAAAAGAAGGTATGGATGTGCAACTTGAGCTAGAGTTTTAAAATGACTTGAAAAAGGCTATAGAATCTATATATAGATCTGGTATAACTGGAATTTTCCTTTATTTCTTCTTGGAAAAATTCAATGTTACCCCATTGTAGGGTTCTTAACCACACATTCCACACTTGTGTGTGACAGTGTGTGTGTATAAATGTGGCAAAAAACTAATGGGGTAAGCATGGAACAAACGTTCTTCTTCTTGGTGGTTTAATAGGACAGGTTTGCAAATGCAGGCTAGGCTTAAGCACGACATAACTCAATAATATATAGGAGGTTAATTGAAAAAAAAAAAAATGGAAAAAGAAAGGACTTGTAAAATAATAAAAAAATACAACTTCGTCCAGAAACATTACAAGTATCAAACTCTTTTTGTTGATAGTAAACCTTATATATGTAAGCTATCTATCTATTCACAAACTAAAAAATAAAAGAAAAGAAAAAACAACAGGTATGATTGACAATAGACCTAGCCTAACAATGTAAATCACTCAACCAGTCATGGTTCTTTACAACTTATATCCTCTATATGATGATGACAGCGTCTAACACGTCACATAAATACACCATCAGCAAATAAGTTACAGCGAAACGGACACAAATCTGGGAAGGAACACATTTATAAGACATGGCAAATAATCAGCTTTCATTTACCAAAAATGCAAGTTCACAGCCAGTTGGGTGTCGTCTTGACAGGGGATGGGTTTTGCGGAACTTTCTCCAATGAGCGATATTGCAACTTCACGCTTTCTGCATTGTCCAATGTCTTTACCACGTACCTAACCAGTTTGAAAACGTGAAGTAGAATAAGCTATGATCGACCTATTTTTTTTTTTTTCAAATTATCTGTACAGGCTGCCTTGATATGATCCTATTTTAGTACACGTCATTATGACTTGTAAATTGTAATACTCAAGGTGACTGTTATTCAATCAGCTATTTTTGGTCCCACCCAAGCAAACCACAAAATTAAGATATAGCTACAAAAGTTACAAGTACCTTTCAGTTTGAATTTGTTTTACAGTTTAACCTCTCAATGAGGGACAATTCACAAACCAGTACAAATAGAATATATCTTTTTTCTTAGGTTCAGTACTCTTTCTGGTTCTTATTAAATAAAACATGGCAGAGAAACGAGAGTAGAATTTGTAGTCCTCCATAAAATAAAGCTTAAAACGTACCTATGGTTAGAGTCAATACCTGTTTTGGACTCTCTTAAGAGGGGGAAAAATTGAAAAAAGAAAGAAAAACCACCATAAAAAAAAGAGGGTTTTACCATCCATTCAAGCACTGGGTGGTGACAATGGCCTCGCGCCCAACGAAACGAGGAGGTGTTCTCTTGTTTCCCTGTTAGTAAATTCAATGTTAGAAATTCGATATGGTTCATAAATTCATGCACCGATGACATTCTTCGGAAATAAAAAGGAACCTTTATGATAACATGATCTGTAACCATAAATGGAAACTGAACTCCTTTCCCCCTTGCCTGATCTGTGAGCGTCGGATCAGCAAATGTCCCCTTGTGCTAATGTTGTTAAAAAAATTGTATTATATCTAGTTTTCTGTAATAGTTATTTTCAAATGATGACTCACATGATCATATCTTTCCCTCCTCTTTTTTGAGTTATGGTTAGGTTGCAACTCTTCTTCCCTCTTGAATGCCTGGACTGCTACGCGTAGAGCTACACAAGACAACAAGGTGAAGCCGAAAAATCAATATACAAAAGAATTAATAGTCAATAGTGTTTTGAAAAGACCAAGTGATGCTAATTGCAAAGGATTGAAAGCCATCATAATATGAAGTCCAAAAGATGTGCTCAAAATCCAGAAGCATATATATAGGAAACAGATTAGAAAAATATCAGTATATAAAAGAATGTCGGATCGCTGGTTAAAGATATTTACTTTGTAGGATGAAGTTTCAACAACAGGTTAATGATCAAGAATTAATTCGCACTTAGTTGATTACCAATTTCAATCTGATTATAATAATAAATAGAGTAAGTAACTTTTTGCCATCCGAACTTTTAAGAAAATTTGCAACTTACCATATAAAGTTTTTTTTTTTTAAACCACCATACTACTTAACGTGAATTTCACAATGCCCCATGAAACTAGATATAGTAGTTTTAACTCAAAAACAACATATTTCATGACATTTTAGTAATTATGTATATTTTCATATATAGTAAATATCATAGAAGGAAAAGATAAAATATTATTAAAAGAATAGCGGAAAACGGAAGCCTATGTTGAAGGCTCCTCAGTACTATGGGGCCCCATTCTGAGAGGTATAGGACTTGACTGCACAAATTTGGGAAAAAAAAAAAAAGAATAACGATTTTAAATTTGTGTATTTTGCTTCATTTGAAAAAAAAATGGAAGAGACTAGTCACTCTTACAATCAGTAAGGGGGAATGCATGGCTGAACTGGTCTCTTAAGAAAAATTAGATGTTTGGAAATGACAAGGACCAACAAAGCCGCAAGGACTAATTTTCCAAATATTCTGGATTTAATTGGAATACCAGAAATGCAATCTTGCCGAGTAGATACATATATGTTTCTCCAATGTGATGAAATATCATTTTGTTGACTGTTAGATTGATATCAAATGAATATCCGAGCAGGGACGCTAATACTTTTGTAGTAACTTGAGCTTAAATTAATATTTTTGTAACCATTAACCCGTCATGCAAATAGACAGAGTTCCTTGAGAAGGCACTCAGACAAGCTCACAGAGCATGGGACGAGCAAGATGCTCTTCCTTGCCATCCTTCTCAACTACCTCGACCCGGCCCTCACTCTTGCCTGTGCCTCCAACTACAAGGAGCTATTAGGTGTGTACAAGAATCTCACATCTTGCGGAATGATCTGTTTGCGGTTTTTTAACTCTTATTTTAATTTCCTTTTTCTTTCTTCTGTTTTCTCTACCTTTTTCTTTTATGTTTTTTACTATTCATGTAAATGTACATAATTACTAAAAATGTCATTGAAAATCAGCCGTGTTCCTACTCCCTAGTTAACACCATTATAGCAGGTTTCAGAGGGCATTGTGAAAATTGCGCAGAGTTGGTATGATGGTTTGTAAATAAGAAGTTTACAAGTTAGTTTCAATTTCGTGAAAGTTCGGGTTGCAAAAAGTTTTTTACCCTGATGAATTTAATATCCAATAAATATTTCATCTACCAAGAGAAGAAAACATAAAACGAGAATGCCTTCGGGCAAAGTTCACACTTTTGCACACAACCACCAATCTGAGTTAAAAGCTAGTAAAACTTGTACAAGAAGCATTTGCATCATGTTTAATGGCCATCATCACAGCCAATGAGTCAAAACGTTGGAAGCACAAAATGATTGATACTGGAATACATAAGGTTGAAATTCGACACTTTTGGAACACAATTTGCAGCATAGATTGAAATACTTAGAAAGGAACATAGTCCAGGTGATTTGTATGCAAGGGGTCGACTATTAATTCTTTATGCTTTCCTCATAAATGAAGATATATGGACTTACATAGGTTTGGAGCAATCGAATCCTCGGACACAGGTTGAGAGCACATATAGCAAGCTTTCTGAAAAATGAGTTACTAATATAAATAATACATTCAATTAATTCCAATGAAAAGGTATGGAAAGGCACTGGATAGGAAGTTAATTCGAAATGTAAATGAGACAACTCCATTTAAAGATGTTTCTCCACATATAAAATTGATCTAATGCACTTACATGGGTTTGAAAAGTGAATCTGCAAATGGAAAAGAAAAATACGCAATGCAGTTTTATTAGCTGGCATATGAAACTCCTGACCTGACCCTCTAAAGCTTAAAATGCAAATCTTCATAATAGTGTTGGTAGTAATCAAATCAATAGAGCACATAATAAAATACTGATCACCATAGAGTAAAGCCTTAGTTTCCGAAACTTTACCATTCCAATGATTTGCTGTATGCCACTGCTACCGTAGGAATGCCCACAGGGCAATATCATTGCATCTTCCATAAGTATTCCTCTGTAAAGAGGCAATTAAAAACACAAACATAAGCACAATTGTCAATATTACTCATTTTGCAGAAAACCTATCCAAATTCCATATTTTGACTAGGACATGGTTGGCAAAACTTATAAGCCAAAAGGTACCATGTTTACTCTCTCTCTCTCTAAAAGAAACAATAACATGCGTATTTGAAGCCTGACACTAAAGTATAAAAACAATGGAAAAATAAAAACAATTAAACCAATAGCAACATTTCCAAAATCCACATATAATGAAAGATTTCGCGGGAAAGTGGGTGCTGCATAATATATAGACATGTTTTAAAGAATCAACAATTCTTTACAATACTTTCTCTTTTCTTTTGTTGGGAAACTAAGGAGCTGACACAACATTTCTAATATATCTCAAAATAAATGAGCACAACATTATCCTATCAACACTACATAAAGTTATCGAGCAGTGAAAATTTTGTTAAACAAAATGGCCAACTCCCACACTAGCTTCACCCAACCACTGCAAGACATCGAATGTTCGTTTAACAATTGATGTTCTTAAAAGAATTTGCAAAACAAACAAAAAAAATATTATACATACATATATATATAAATAATAATAGTAACTTTTGAGAAACACATACGTTATAGGGTCTGAAAAGATGGCCATTAAGGACTCCGCACCCCATTCACTATTGTATGAGCTTTCCTTGCTGCCACTATACCCACAGCCGTTCTCCATCATCACAACATCCTTCTGCCTGGATGACGAACTGGGGCCCTCGACTCCATTGTTCAAATACTGTGAGTAATAAAGTTCACCACTGCTCGTTTTCCTTGCTTCTCCACTTTCATTATTTCCACTGTTGCTTTCATTTCCACTATGCGTCATGTTCCCATCTTTAAAAACTTGAAAAAGGCAACAAAAAGATGAATTCTACACAATTCAATTCAATGCTCTTACAGTGAAGGATAAAAACCTTTCAATTACATTTGGATTACCTAATGACGAAATGAGTTTCAGTTTTCCACTGTGTCTTTCTTTTCCATGGCCGTCACTGATTTTAGCGCCGTCGGCAATATTACCCAAATCGTTTCCCATTTCTCCTTCCTCCCCCTCGTACTCATCATCGCCATCATTGCCACCGAGTTCATCATCCTCCGATGCATTGCCGGCATGCCAATGGTGGCGGAACGAGGAAGAATCTTGGGGAGGAGGCGGCTGGGAGTGAGGCTGAAAGAAGTGGGGGTGATCGAGGAAGCTGGTGGTGAGCTCACGGGTGACGGATTTAGCGCCGGGATCACAGGCGGCAGAGCCAGTGTGGCGGTGCGGTGGCTGGGAGACACCCGCAAAGGCTTTTGAAAACACGAGCTGCGGGTGCGGGTTATGGATTTTCTGGTGAGAAACCATGCCGGCTTTTTCAGAAGCCATTTTCAGGGTTGGAGATCAAATGCAGATATCAGTCTTAAAGACTTAAACCCTTTTTTGAAGCTGGGATTGTTAGGGTTAGAGTTGGGAGAGGAAGCCCAAACGGCGTCGTCGGCAAGTGAATTTTGAGATGGTGCGAGGGAGTGTTTTGGTTGATCAAATTGGGACAGCACACAACAGCAAAGGACCAAGGTCAATTGCCCCACCCCACTTTGACTTTGAATTATAATATTAACTAGTACAATTTTTAACAAGCAAAAAATATATACTTATTAGTAGACGTGGCGATGGTCGTTCCGGAACCCCAAAACTGGCCCATATGTAGGGGTCATTGGATAGGACCCGTGCTACAAGCGGGTGGGTTTCAGGCCTTTGTTTTTTTTTTTTAACTTGTTGGNAGACGAGTCCGAGTTTTCGACCTTTTCTTATTTTCTTTTCGGGCCAGGTCGACCGTTGGAGACCCGACGGCCAGATTGAATCTGAGCCGTGAGATCAATCTGACCGTTGGAAATCCAACGGTCAATCTTTAAATTTTTATTAAAAAAAAAAATTAGCGGGTCGGGTCAAAACCCAGTTCCGGGTCGGACTCGGCCCGTTCGGGTCTCTCAACAGTCGGATTTCAGAATCGCATCGTTGGATCATTTGACCGTTGAGATAAAACGACAAGCATCAACCCGACCCACCTGACCCGTCGGGTTGACCCGGAACTGGCGAGGCTCGGTCCGAAAATTAAAAAAAAAAATGAAAAAAAACACCTATAAATACCCCCACCTCAATTTATTTTTCTTCATTCCATTGTGTTAACGATCTCTCTTCTCCCTCTACATTTTTAAGTATTCGATTTTGAGTTTTTGTGCTCAGTTTGCAAGAAAATCGGTCCGATTATATATAATTCCAGTTCCAAACTTCTTATTCTATAAATTCACAATAATTTTGAGTCCGTTTTTATAAATTTACTCTCATTTATATCATTTTTCACCTATTTTTTATTTTATAAATTATTCTTCAAATTATAAATTCACAATATTATGAGTGAATTTTTTTCTTGTGGATTGACCGAATCGATGTAACTCATTATACTTGTGGAAAAATAAATGGAAATATGTGATATTACTCTATATTGTTGTGTTTGGTGTGTTTGTATGTGACCTTAGTGGTAGGTCACCATTTGGTTCCCCAAAATCCACCATATCAAGGCTTTCGAGCTGGGTGGTTTATTGTTTGAGCGACCCTGGAGTGTGGTTGGGCAAGTGTTCAAGGCAAAACTCATCATGATTAAGGCTTTCGAGTTGGATTGTTGCTTTGAACGACCACGGATAGGGGTTGAGCAAGTGTTCAAGACAAAATCCATCATGATCAAGGCTTTCGAGCTAGGTGGTCACTTGTTTAAACGACTCTAAAGTGGAGTTGAGCAAGTGTTCAAGAAAAAACCCACCGTAATTAAGGCTTTCGAGCTGGGTGGTCACTTGTTTGAACGACCCCAGATGGGGGATGGGCAAGTGTTCAAGACAAAATCCACCATGATCAAGGCTTTCGAGCTGGGTGGTCGCTTGTTTGAATGACCCCAGATGGGGGATGGGCAAGTGTTCAAGACAAAATCCACCATGATCAAGGCTTTCGAGCTGGGTGGTCGCTTGTTTGAACGACCCCAGATGGGGGATGGGCAAGTGTTCAAGACAAAATCCACCATGATCAAGGCTTTCGAGTTGGGTAGTCGCTTGTTTGAACAACACCAGATGGGGGTTGGGCAAGTGTTCAAGAAAAAATTCACCATGATCAAGGCTTTCGAGCTGGGTGGTCACTTGTTTGAACTACCCCAGAGTGGGGTTGGACAAGTGTTCAAGGCAAAATCCACCATGATTAAGGCTTTCGAGTTGGGTGGTCGCTTGTTTGAACCACCCCAGAGGGGAGGTTGGCCAAGTGTTCAAGACAAAATCCCCCATGATCAAGACTTTCAAGCATGGTATTCGATCCTAATGTTGGGTCGCGGAAGACATTACAAATTCAGAAGTCACAGTCCATTCCAACGTAGGATGAAGGATCGACCTCAAGGGGGGGAGATGCGGACCAATTAACCACACTCTATACATCAAATGTGGTGCACCTAAAGAAAAGGAGCGCAATTAAACAATTCCAAAGGTCAAGGATATAAAGTTCTTAAAGACCTCGGTGACCTCGTTGGCAGGTCAATCAAAAAAGATAGTTTAGTGGTGTAAGTATTAAAGATTATATTAAGGCGAAGTTTATAGCAGGTCGAATGATTGTTTAAATTCTTACTTAATCATGTGGACTGTATGAACAAATTGGGAAAACATGGTAAGCCACTTAGTTATATTTGGGAATCAAAATATCCAAAGAATCGATGAAGAGTCGACATGTACAATTCCAATGCTAAACTGGAAAATAACAAGGTATTGCAGTGAAAACTGATGAACCAAAATGATAAGTGTTCATTCTTATGCAAAAAAAATAAATAAAAAAAAAATGAGGATAGGTATAAGGCAAACATTTGCAAACAACACATTCAAAATATAATGGACAACAATTAGGCAAGATGAACAGTCAAATTTTTGACATTTGTCCCAGTAGCATCATTAACGTGAACCACCATTGCAAAGGTCCCTTCATCAGGCAGAGAGGTCCTAGAAACGAAATTAGTATCCTTGAACATCGGATCTTTCGCGAGCTCTTCAGTGGGAGGAACTTGTGAGATTGGCTCAATCAGCATTAACTCGGTAGGTAGTGTCAAACCTTTGGTCAGGTCGTGCTTGGGAAGGCACTCCTCTAGGGTCTTATCGACAAGACCCTAGAGGAGTGCCTTCCCAAACACGACCTGACCAAAGGTTTTGACCACTGCTGGTGAGACGTCTCACCAACAGTGGTCTTTGGGGAGACCAGGAGACTTGTATTAATCCTTCACAACCTACTCGCAGTATACATAAGAGAAGGCCAACCCTGCTCGTGAGGTTAAAAAGTTCTAGCACTTGAAAGCTAGACCCATGTGGTTCGCAGCCTCCATATCGGAGTTCCTCTTCGCTTTTAGCACACCCAGCTCTTTCTGGAGTGTTACAATATGACGATTCAGGTTGCCGACCTCCCTTTTAAGTTTGTGGTTGTTAGAGGTGAGCTCATCATTCACCTTCTTCATATCCTTGAGATCTTCATAAAGATCCTCACAGGACGGGGAGGCCAACTGATTGTTCTCATTGAGCTTGGAAACCAAAGAGATGAGCAGATTTAAAATTCATATGAAGATCGGATTAAGAAGTCAGATTATTCATATCATCAACATACAACTAAAGGAAAGAAGGTATATACTTGGGAGATGGCCTTGGTCGCGTAAGCCAACTGACTTTGGCAGTTTTACCCCATTGCCCCATCTCTCGGGCAGGGATCACCTGCATAAAGTAGGTCGAGAAGGAGACCTCATTTGAGTCGGTGGCGAGCTTGTCGAGCACATCGACGTCGATCTGCTTGACGCATTGCTTCTTCGAGCCGTTGGGAGGAGCACCAGAGCTCGACCTCATTTGTTGGTTTTACTTCGAGGGGGGAGGAGGCAGAGGAGGAGATGTGGGCTTCGGATTGCGCCTTAGAGACTCAAGCTCGCCAAGAGCCCTTGGGGTCGACCCTCGAAGGACGATTGGAGAGCTTACGCATTAGAAACTAAAGTGGAGGGGGATTTTCCCTTGTTGCTCGATGAGCTTGATCTCATCGACTTCAATATATCCTCTGCGAAAAAATCACAGCATATAAGGTAGTTGACAAAAAAGATATAAAATGAGGGATACGTAGTAAGTAACCTACCAAGCTCAGCATTAGACAAAAGGGGATAAGGCCCTTTGTTGAGGCCACAGTGAAAAAGGAGCACTAAATTGAAATATATTAAATTTTAATAAATTGTAATGAGATCCCTAGAACATATCAAATTTACAAAAAGGAACCCCACAATTCATACAACTCCCTAGTCCTAAATAATTCAACCGCCAACCACATCCACCAGTCTCACCAGCCCGTCACCGACGCTACAGTCATCGTCGCCGCCGTCCTCACCTACCAGGCCCTACCCCTGACTTTTCTTCCTCTGCAACGCCATCTCCGACTCCTTCCTCTGCACCCACAAAAAAATTAGCAATTCGTCCACTTGCTCAATGCCAGCGACGAGCACGAGACGACTCATTGTGGCTGCGACGGGACCTTTTGCGCGGCTGGCACACCTTGTGTGTTTGTGATATGTGGCTGGACAGAGAAAACAAAGGTTAGTGTCGGCTGTGGAGGAAGAGCTGGTGGTGATGGGCTGCAGACATGCGGAGAAGAATGTTGACGGCGGCGACGGACGTCTATGGCCGATGGTGGTCGTGGTGGCCATAAGTAGATTGTATGTGTGCGTGTGGACTCTATGAGCTGGCTGACTGCTGTGGCCGGAAGGCGGAGACGATGCGGCGGGCTGGTGGCGGATGGTGGAGGCGAGGTGGCTGGCCATTGACAGCAACCGGCTGCTGTTGCCGGAAGTGTGTGTATGTGTGTGTGTGTGTGCGTGCGCGAGTTAAGTGTGTGTTTTGTGTGTGAGTGTGTGAGAGAGAGTGATATAGTGTTGGTGGTTGGGTGGGGTTCACTAGGTGATTAGAATTTAATGTTAGTGACCAAAATACCCTTAATGAGTGGTCAAATTTATACATTTAACCATAATATGTCCACTTATTTATGAGAGTGCCACACATGTTTAACTCTCAGTTATTAAAATTTGACTTGATCATGACCGTTGTCTTGACAGATCCAATGATACAGATTTATTCTTATTTCTTTCACTATCCACAATTCTTATTGGATTCTAACTCTCTCACACACACACACATACACTCTATGTATATATGTATATATATGTGTGTGCGTGTGTGTGTGTATGTTAAGTATACTTAAAGAAACAACGTAAATAAAAGTAAATACCTATTTTCGTTAAAAAAAAATATATAATGTTTGGAATAGGCAACTCATATAAGTCATACAAGAATTTATGTTACCAAAAGTTAGGGATGTATTCAATTTGAGATTTTTAAACTTTTTAAGATATTGGAAATCATGTATTTACATTAGAATTTGTAAGACTTTTTAAAAGTTTTAAAACTATCGAGTTTTTCATTTGAAATTTCAACTTATTTGAAACTGAGATTGGTTAGGACTATTTAAGATTAACTCAGATTTAAAATGAAAAATATATACGAAATCTTACTATTAGTCTCAACTCCAAACTTAAAATTACGTAGAATTCCTAATTTTGAAAATTTTAAAGTCTCAAAATTAAAATTGGTATTTTTTTATTGAAAACTGAAACTGAATCGAATCGGACCGAAAATAAATCGAACCGCACCGACTCGCTTGTAACGATAAGCGATTATCGGTTACTGAATTACTATCGGTTCCGAACTCATAAGGGTTTGGTTTTACTCAACCGAACCGATAAGGATAAAACGTAAAATTAAATAAAAACTAATTACTAAATATATCCACTTAATGAATAAAACAAGAGAGAAGAGAATGGTTCTTTGTTCCAACCCATGATTATGACTTGCTAACCGAACCAGTTTGAAGTTAACATGATTCATAGTGAAGTATATCCAGTTTGAAGTCAAGGCTACTCAAGCAGTCGACCCTCAGGGGCGGTGTTTCCCGCCTCCGTTCCTCAGTCCAACCCCCCTCAACTACTATTGTTATTGATATCTCACATTCTCATCGGTTGTTGTGGTATTATTTTTTTTTTTCCTTGTACTTTTTTCTGTACAAAACTAAACCAAACACGGTTACCGACTGCAAGTCGATTCGATTTCGGTTTCACATTTTATTGATATCGAAATTATCGGATGGTATCGGTAAGGGGTCATCGGTTCAGTTACCGAACCGATACCAAGCCTACTCAAAATACTTAAAGGAACATACCCCAAATATTTTTTTCACTCTTACTACAAGATGCATAAACATTTTAAATTGATACTCGAGCTCACAGAGGCGAACGGCCCAAACCTAAAATACAGGGACAAACACCAAACACGAACGACATACAAAAAAAAAAATACTACTACTACTACAACCCTTCCCACAACAGAAAACCTCATCAAACACAGCAATGGCGGTCAAGGCCCAGGACTCGATTCAGAAACTGCAAGAGGATCGGGAACCATCGGACCCAACCTTGATCCAGACGGACAACACCACAAGACCCGAAAATCCGCACCCCCAAAAGGCCGCCCAACTGTCCACACCCGACTCGGATGTATTTCGAATCGTTTTAAAATTTATAAGATGATGTCAATTGTCGACTGTATAGAACATAAAATTTTCACCAGTTAAGATACCCCACCAGTCCCCACAAACAAATCCATCAATAGAAGGCAAAAAAACTTAAAAATCCTGAACACACAAACATAAATCAGAAGTTGAATAATATGCCAAACACGTAGAGAAACAAAGTATCAGTCAAGCAAGCATCCAAATCCTGGAAAGGCGGTGAACAAGAATCCGGTCAGTCAACCAACAACCGCCCACAAGCAAATCAAGACACGGACAAAGAAGACCTTCCAAAAATAAAATAAAAAAAATAAAAAAAAAATGGTACAAAACCGGATTCTTTTTCGCCACATCATCATCCAGCCAGCCAGTCAATCTCTAAACGGATGAAATTAATCAGCTAAAAATCAGCCCAACGAATCATTGCTTTCGGAGGGACACCTAATAAGCTCCAATATCTTGACAGCCTCCGCCATCTCCGGCCTGCTGGACGGCACCTGAGACGTACAAACCAATCCCAACTTGATTACCGGAATTGCCTCCTCCAGCGGAAACTTCCCTCCCAACCTCGGATCCACACACTCCTCCACCCTCCCTTCCTCCGCAGCCCCCCTAACCATGTCCGACAGAACCACCACATCATCCTCCATGTACTCCACCGGCCTCCTTCCCGTCACCATCTCAAGAACCAATATCCCGAACCCATACACGTCACACTTGTCCGTTATCTTCACCGTCTTGCAAGCAAACTCCGGCGCCATGTACCCGAGCGCGCTCTGAATCTTGCTGCTCAGCACATACCTATCCAGCATCGGCAGCAGCTTCGCCAGCCCGTAGTCCGCCACCTTAACCTCCCCCGAACTCTCATCAATCAACACATTACTCGATTTAATGTTGTAATGAATGATTCCCATCCGGTGCAAGTGGGCCAGCCCGCGGGCCGTCCCGAGTATAGCTCCGAACCTCTCGTCCCAAGAGAGGACGACCCTCCTCCCCACGCTCTCGTGAAGACATTTGTACAAGCTCCCCCCAGAGACAAACTCGTAGATCAAAAGCTGGAGGGATGGAGTCCAATAATAGCCCTCGAGGGCCACGAGGTTGATGTGGCGGGCCCGCCCCAAATTCCTCACCTCATGCTCAAAACTTTCCTCGGACTTGACGAGTCCCGACACCGCCAGCCTCTTCACGGCCACGGGCCGCCCGTCGGCGAGCGCACTCCGGTAGACGGCGCCGAACCCTCCGCGCCCGAGCTCGCGATCCTTGCTCAGGAGCGCGTGACCAGCGGCGGCGGCGGCGAGCCCTGGGACTTTCGAGAACATGACGAGCTTCCCCGACTCCTCCTCACAGCTGGCGCTGGACGGAGAGCGGCTCGACGGAGAGAAGTCGAGGGCAGCGGCACGGGGCAGCGAGGCGGCGGCGGCGGCTTGCACGCGGAGGTTGAGGACAGTGACGGCGATGACGCCGACGACGATGGAGGCTGCGGCGCCGATGGCGATGAGGGCAGAGATGCTGAGGATTTTCTTGCCGCGAGTGGGGAAGGTGGGGGGAATGTGGGTGGTGGGGTTGGAGGGGTTTGTGGAGTTGGGGTTGAGGACGATGGGTTTCGGGAGGACTTTGGGGCAGGTGGTGTTGGCAGCGGAGCCGCAGAGGGAGGGGTTGGCGGAGATGGAGGAAGGGTCGATGGTGTTGAAGAAGGGGCTGGAGGGGAGGTCACCGTGGAGATTGTTGTGGGAGATGTCGAACGAGTGGAGGGAGACGAGGTTGGCAAGGGGCTTCGGGAGAGAGCCTGTGAGGTTGTTGAATGAGAGGTTGACGGTTTGGAGGTTGGCGAGGTTTGCGAAGGATGGGGGGATCGGGCCCGTGATTAGGTTGTGAGCAAAAGACCTGTTGTTGAGTTATGGGAAAAACAGTGTTATTAGATTTTTGTTGAAAGAAAAAAAAAAGCCTTAAAGGCAAATATTTTTTAATGAATGATAAGAATGAGACATGAAGAACTTGAGCGCTTTCTGCAATCAATTTGATAAGTTGCACTTGCATAGGAGGAATATGTTGTAGAGTATTCCGATATATCGGTGAATAGCTTTAAGAAAATTAACAGGAAAACAATTGACAATATGATGAAGAAACAACTGGAATCAGCAAAAGGTACTTGGAAACAATTTATGGATCAGAAAATAACATCATGAAGCTAGAATATATTTCACACATAATGAATATCAGATCACAGCATGCTTAGAAATAAAGTATGGAGTAAGAAACACATGACTGAATCCAAAAACTTACAAGGATATTAGCGATAGGTTTAGTCCGATCTCCCTTGGGATGACGCCCGTTAACTGATTCTCGCTCAAATCGAGAAATTTTAAGCTCTTCAGCTGCCAGATAGCTTCAGGAATCCCGCCTCTGAACGAATTCCTTGACATATTCAACAACTGCAAGCTCTTGAAATCCCCAACAACAGGTGGGATTTCACTCGACAGCTTATTTTGGGAAACATCCAAATACAAAAGCTGTTTGCGGGCAATTTCACTCGACGAAGCCAGAGCGTTTGCAAAGCTCCCATTTAATCCGTTGTCTGAAAATACAACTTGCTGAAGACCAATTTTGAAGACCCATGAAGGAAAATTGCCAGTCAAGGAATTGCGACTTACATCAACAGTTAAGAGATTCTCACATTTGCTCAGAGAATCGGGCAAGCTTCCACTAAGGGCATTCTTGGATACATTTAAAAACTTCAGAGATCTCAGCTTTCCGAAAGAATCTGGAATTTGGCCGCTAAAGTTATTTTCAGAAAGATCGAGGGTCTCAAGGCTTCTCATTTCCCCTATCCATTTGGGCACATTTCCTGTAAAACCATTTCCACCTAAACCTAAGACTCTGCAGAAAGAAAGCTTCTGCAATTTGTTAGGTATCCCTCCAGAAAACGAATTGAAGCTCAAATCGATTAACCTCAACAACAAACAATTCCCAATTCCATCCGGCACCTTACCGCTAAGCCTATTGTTTCTCAAACTTAAAGTCCTCAAGTATTTCAAACTGTGAATGTCCTCAGGGATCTCACCCTCCAGCATGTTGTCAGACAAATCGAGTGACCTGAGCCCAGATAATGACCAAATACCCAAAGGCAGAGACCCAGAAAATTGATTGCCAGAGAAATCGACCGAAACAAGAGACGAGCAATAGGCTAAACTCACCGGAATAGGGCCTGATAATTTGTTTCTGGCCAAGGAAACAGATCTCAAAGTCCCACATTGCTTGAACAGTTCATCTGGAATAGACCCGGAAAAGCCATTTTCACTCAAATCCAATACCGTCAAATTAGAGAGCTGAGAAAAGTTGAGGCTCAAACTTCCGGTAAAATTATTTCTAGAGAGGAGAAGTTTTGAGAGAAACTTCAATTTTAGGAGCCCTCTTCCTAATTTACCAGAGAGGCCAAAGTCTGTGAGATTAAGTTGAGAGACTCTACTGGATTTATTGTTACATGTTACCCCAGTCCAATAACATGCGCTGGCGTCATCTTCGACCCAAGAACGTAATTTGTCAGCGGGATCTTTAATATCAGATTTGAAGACAATCAAGCCCAGAACATCGTCGCTCAAAGAAGGGTTAAAAGTGTCGGCAAATAATGGAGAGAAACGAATCAGAAATAAAAGACCAAGTAGTAGGCTTCTCATTTTCTTTTTCTTCAATAATCTGTAAATGCAACTGCTCAAGACATTGTTTGGTTACAGAGCACAAATGAAGATAAGTGGGTTCAAGAATTTAGACTCGCAAGCAACGGCTAGAAATTCATACCATGACAACCCAGAACAAATAAAAAGTAAAAACCCCAAGTTATGTCGAATAAAATAGCCGCATTGCCAAAAGAAAAACAGAAAGGTGCTTAACTTTGATCTGAGAGGAAATGAAAAACAAAGGATTAGCCTGAGCTGCCTATGCTAGTCGCCGTAGTCCTGGAAGAGCGTTACCAGCAAATCTCGCCGACAAATGCGGAAAGAGGAATCAGAGCTTTGTTTCTCTCTCTAGAAAAGGTTTCAGTTTCATGCCTCTCTCTATACAACCTTTTTTTTTTTTTTTTTCTAGNCTAGTGGAGCATTTATGTCAGTATGAATAGAAGAGAAGGCTGTTGTGGTCGCTTTTATTAGGTGGGACACGTGGCATATTTTTGTCGGTTCCTCATCAATCCTATGTGGATGACACCTTGTCATGAGACAATGCAATTGAGGGACTCAATAAGGTCAACTTTTGTCTAATTATAAATACTAGTCTTATTGTCTGTACAAATACACCAAAGTATAAAAATAAATTATTTAAATAAAAATGTATCTATATTGTTGGATATCTTTTTCATTATAGTATGCCTTTGCTTACAATTTTTTTTAAAACGAATGATATTTCATTTCTTTTAAATTTGTTACTCGAAACTAAAAACTTAATAATATATAATATCTCTTTTATAATTAAAAAAAAATTTAAATCACATTTGAATTTAATCAAGTGTAATAGACATAACTTAATAGTACATAATCATATCTAATGTTAGTAAAATAATTATCATAGTGATATATAATATTAGTTAATTAATATTAAAAGTAATTAATGTGAAATGTAGTATAAAAATCCATATAAATGGGCACAATATTTTAAAAACGAATAGCTCATTCTATGCTTTTTTTTTTTTTTAAGTTGTAAATTGAAAACCAATTTCGGAGTCCATTCATACGTAAATTTTAATAATAGAATCGTCCTTGCATATTTATAAAACATTACAGAAACCATATATGTATTTATTATAAAACATTGCAGAAACCAAATATGCATTTTTTGTCACTTTCGACATTCACTTTCGCCATTCTCTGTCATTCTTGTGTTATAGTATCATGTTCGTATAAATAAAATCTATCTATATATATAAAAATGTTTGATTATTTTTTAAATAAAAACTATTTCCCGCTAAAAAAATTTATTTACTATTTTTGGTAGTTATTAATTCATTTTATGGTTTGTGGGAGTGAATTTTATTTGGTATGAATGATAAATTAATTTTGGTACGTGAGGAACATATTTTTTTTTTTGGTTAGTAAATGTACTGACCGATTTCTTGGGCCTAAGATGTGCTCGCCTTCTTTCTTTTCTTTTTATTTTTATTTTTTTGGTGTGATATGTGAGTGTGGATTTGTGTGGCTTTTATATCTTGAATTAAATGATCACATTTTTTAGGTAACCTTTTGACTGTATATTTTTTGTATGACAAATTTAAAAAAATAACATGAATGTTCATTTTAGTTGAATGTTATGGCCGAATTATATTAGGTATGAATGATAAATATTTTTTGATATTTTTTAGTAAATGTGTTGTCTGATTGGCATTGTGTATCATATAGTTCTTATTTAATTAACCAAAATGCCCAATTCGATAAACAAATAATTAAAAAAAATTACCAAACAAATCTCAAGCAAAGACATCAGATAATCACTTTGCTATTTAATTGATTAAACACGTGTATTCGATTATCATATTTATAAACACGTGTATTTACAAAAAAATATATCTTGTGCATAATTCGGTGTTTTTCTATAATAATTTTTTTGTATTCATCAGTCATCAAAATCAATTGGTTACGAAACTTATAAACATATTAAAGTTAATTGATATGCATGTAGATTATTGCACCAAAAGATATAGTATTAACCAATAATAACCAATAAACATATATACATCTGTGAATAGTTTGGTTTAATGCCAAAAAAAAAATATACAAATATAGATTTGCTCGGTTAGTAACAGTATGAAAATATATATTAATTAAAAGTTATTTGTTACCACGTTTAAATTGACATACCGTTTATAATAAAGAAAGATGAATTAGAAATTAAATATCACAAAATCTTTTTCCAAAACATACATAGACTGTTTCTTTCCATCAAATAAATAAAAAATCAAGTTATTTCGTACCAAAATATACACATATATATATATAGGGGGTGGATCCAATGAGACCACTTCTTAAAATGAGTACGTGAGACTCAATCTTAGCCACTCATTTTGTCTAGATCAAAATCAATTAAAATATACATTAATTAAATAATAAAATAGTTGACCGTTGACTCCGGCGTTGACCGTTGACTCCGGCGTTGACCGTTGACTTCCGACGTTGATTTCCGGCGAGAATCGTTGACTTTCGGCGTTGACCGTTGACTTCCGGCGTTGACCCGTTGTATTGAAATAAATAACCTAGCAACAAAAGACACTCAACCTTGAGTGGTGTAGTGGTTGCATTGCTTGTCTTGCCTCCATGAGGTACCAGGTTCAAATCCTATGGGTTACAATTTTTTTATAAAAAAAAATACAACTAACTTAGCAACATCAGACAACTAACCTAGCAACAAAACACAACTAACTTAGCAGTATCAGACAACTAACCTAGCAACCAAAGACAACTAACCTAGCAGCAAGAAAGAACAACTAAACTAGCAACAAAGAGAAAAATTAACCTAGCAACAAAACATAACTAACCTAGCAACAAGAAAGAAATAACCTAGCAACAAAAACCAAGCAACAAAACACAACTAACCTAGCAACAAGAAAGAAAAACTAACCTAGCAACAAAGACAACTAACCTAGCAACAAAACACAACTAACCTAGCAGCAAGAAAGAAATAACCTAGCAACAAAAGACAACTAACCTAGCAACAAAAGACAACACAAAAGACAACTAACCTAGCAACAAAAGACAACTAACCTAGCAGCAAGAAAGAAATAAGATAACAAAAAACAAATGGTCAACGGTCAACGTCGGAAGTCAACGCCGGAAGTCAACGATTTTCGCCGGAAGTCAACGCCGGAAGTCAACGGTCAACGCCGGAGTCAACGGTCAATGGTCATAATAATATTTAAATAATTAAAAATAAAGAATTAAATAATAAAAATAAAAAATTATTATTTAAATCAAGATCTAAATCTTGTGGCTAGGAATGAATCTCACATTCTCACTTTAAATAATGAGATGCATTGGAACCAATCCCTATATATATATATATATAGGGGTTGGTTCAAATAAAAACTAGTCCTGGTGTGAGAACCATATTTGATGCTATTTTTAATTGTGTATGATATCTATTTTTAATCTCACATGGTGCTATCATTTTTACAAATGTTAACATAAATTGTGTTGCTATTTTTAATAAAATACATCCTAATTAAAAATAGCACTAAAATACAATCAATCATAGCACTACATACAATTAAAAATAGTGGTTCTCACGGTTCTCACGCTAGAACTTAGTTCTCATTTGAACCAAATCCTATATATATATATATAATTTCAACGGCAATTCCAATGGATATTCTAATGTTATTATTTCCGTTGGAATTTTTGAATGGATTCCAATGAAAATTCCAACAAAAATATTCTGTTGGAATAAAATCATTGAAATTTCCATAAGATTTTGATAATTCCAACGATAGATTTTCCAACTGGAGTTGAAATAAAAAATCAACCGTAAATTGCATATTCCAATGGTAAAAAATCGTTGCAAAATAGTTGTTAAAATCATCAAAGTCCATCTAAAATTCCAATAAAAAAACTTATTCCAACAAAATATTTTCGTTAGAATTTCGTTTGGAATGATTCCAATGACAACTATATTATTGGAATATCCGTTGGGTTGGAGGCATATTATGACAGAAGTCGAAATATTGTTACTATAAATCTAAAAGGTTAAAAAATAAATATGAAAATTTATTGTGTTTGCTCTATTATAATTAAGATTACTCTAGTCTGATTGCTATAATTTTGTGCTCAATATAATTGTAGGAGGTTACTCACAATTGGAGTGATGAACAATGGGTCAAGTTGCTGAAAAACTGCTACGACGCAATTCCTGCAAATGGGAAAGTGATTTTGGTGGAATTAGTTCTGCCAGAGGGACCAGATTATGCTGGAGTTGCCACCCAAAATGCTTTGAGTAAGGACTTGATGATGATGTGCTTCACCCAAGGAGGCAAAGAAAGGACAGAAACAGAATTTGAGAAGTTGGCTATGGATGCTGGATTCAATGACTTCAAAAAAGCGGCTTGTGCTTACAATTATTGGATCATGGAACTTAGGAAATGAAGGACGAAAACATTGAAATCCCCCTTTTGCCAAAAGGGAACATGTTACGAGATTTTCATTATTTTAATTATCATCTATGTGTTTGTTACAATTTCTTCAGAATTTATCGCTAATAATTTGACATTCGTATCTGGTGTGTAATAATATAACTCTATAATTGGATTACAGTCCCGAGTGCTATATATTGAGAAAAATTCAATAATTGGTCCACCAATCGATAAGTGGGTGATTGTTTATGGATGCAATTAGTTTTTATTCGGTTTTCTTTTTAAATATAGTTGATTTTGAAAATATGTGGTATGGTTGAAAACTCCTCTCTCTCGAATTTTTTAGCCATCGAATCTAAAACTGCGATCTCTCTCGTAAGCCGACCTTTTCCCCCAAATTAACAGAAACCCTAAATCGGAGCAATTTCTGCCTTCCCTCAGCAGGACCTTCGGGCCACCATGACGGCGGCCTTCACCGCGCTGTACGGCCAGCTTCCAGAGAATCGTCGGAGGTGGNAAAAAAAAAAAAAATATTGTTTACTAAATCTAAAAATTATTTAAAAATTTGATGGTATGTTTTAAAAGTACAATTTAAGTAATTGCGGCTGATTTAGTGAAGTAATATTAATCACTTCAAAAACTAATTTCTAGACCATTAATTACGGAAAAATGTGATTTTTCGGCTGATTTTTAAAGATACAATTTTGGTAATTACGGTTGATTTATTATGATAATACTAATCATATATATTAGTCTCTAATATCTATCTCCAGATACATAATCCCTAAAACACTAACTTTAAGAATAAAGTGTATCATTGGATTTATGTAATATATTTAAAGGAAACTAATAATTATCTACAATTAAAAAAAAATAAACTTTTAAGCTATTTAACTTATGTAATCTGAATTATTTATTCTATATTGTGTATTTTTATATTTAAAACAATTATGAATGAACTATATCTTTTAAATTATTTTTTTTTCAACATTGTTTATTTATTATGATTCTTTTCACAATAAAAATGCAACTGACCATAAGTAAAAACGTAAATAATAAATATACATAACAAAAAAATGTTAAATTTATATAATTGCGTCTAAAGTGATATCAGTGTTCGATATCTATACTTATATAATCAATTTTGAAGATTACTTCAATTTTTTACTTTAAAAATGCGTATAATGTAATCAATACAATTTATATGAAAGTTCTAAAAATAAGGAAATCAACTTTAAATATATTTATTATCGACTGAACTAGATATTTATTATATATAGATACCTAACTAATACAGATACATAACATAATAATATTTGAATTTATATTTTGTATGTACCTCGAGATATTCAAAATAACCAAGCTGTATATAAAGATTTATTTTCAAAATATGAGATACATACCAATTTACAAATAAAAAACGAGTGCTGAGATATTACTTTGCAATATACAAAAAATTCTATTTCCAAATAATCGGCTTTTTTGCCAAAAAAGCATAAAGAAACGTGTGAATATACCTTTCAATGATCTGCCACTTTTCAACAAAGCCCTAATATGCAAGCAACTATGGAGAGTAGCCACAAATCCAAATCTTTTGATGAGCAGAATTCTCAAAGACAGATACTTCCCAGATAGCTCCATTAATCAAGCTGTCAAAACTCAAAAGGGTTCTTGGATGTGGAATTCATGGCTGGAAGTTCTCCCCTTCTTCTCTAAATGGCTGAAAACTGAGGTTAGGAATGGTAAGAGCACAAGGATTTCTGATCTTAACTGGGTGCCTTCATTACCACACACTTCTCCTTCTTTAATTCCAATAGCCAGAGGTCATCTTATTTGGGTTCATGAGCTACTAAATTCCAATGGGCACTCCTGGAATGAATGGTTAGTTAGACAAGTGTTTGGCCCCAATGACAGTGCTGCAATCTTGAACATCTCCACCCTTCATCCAGACATAGAGGACAGATTTCATTGGGGACTAGATGCTAAAGGTCAGTTCTCAGTTTCAAGCACCTACAAATCCCTCTCCAATCTCAAGCTAAGGCAGCTGGATATTCCAGAGAGCAGTTCACATCAGCTCATTCCCAAATCTGTTCACTTTAGGCATTGGAAACTCAAGGTAGCTGGGAGGATTAAGCACTTCTTGTGGAAATGTATCACTGACACACTACCAGTGGCAGTTTCACTGAGAAAGAAAAAGGTGGACATTGAAGCTATTTGCAGCATCTGTGGAGATTCAGCTGAAACCATAGAGCACATCCTTCTAACTTGTTCTAGAGCCTGCAAAACATGGGATCTTTCTCCTGTTAGATGGGAAGGCATCAAGGGCAGCAGGACCAAGTTCAGATATTGGTGGTCAGACATCTGTTCTCTTGATCACACCAAGGCAACCGAAGAAAGGATACAACTATCAACTTACATCCTTTGGTGGCTTTGGAAATCAAGGAACTTGTGGATCTTCCAAAAGAGTCTCATGCCTGAAACCCAGTTATTGAAAATAGCTCACTCGGAATGGCTCCAATTCTCCTCTTCCCACATTACTATTTAGCTTCTGTTTTTGTTTTGCTTTTGTTTCATAGTTAGTCTTTAGAATCAGTTTTCCTCTAGGCTTTTAGCAGTAGATGGGACTGATTCTATTTCTTATTATTATTTTGTGATAGTTGGTTTCCTCTTGTTGAGGCTCTAGGCCACCTTTGGGTGTGTCTCCCAGTTTTTTATTTTGGTTTTGACCTATCTGTATTCTGAACAGTGTATTCGGACTTTGTCCCCTTGAGTTATAATAGTTGCTCTGTCGTCTTGGAAAAAAAAAAAAGAATATACCTTTCAATAGATAGAAATTTTATTAACAAATAAATGGATTGTTTCCCACATCTACTCAAGAAAACATCTAAGTACTATACATGAAAACCTTGCCACATATATAAATATTCTTTTCATATTAATTATAATATCAAATATAAAATCATTATAAATTAACATAAATAAATATATTACCAAATTATTAAATTGATGCAATTTCTAGACCATAAATTGTCTTTTTTTTTAATATTTTCAAATTAAAATATTTTTAGAATTTAATTCAATTAAGCCTTTTACTAACTCTATAAAATGATAGATAGGTCATGTAATAACTCACATGCTCAATTTTTTAATTTTGCTTTTAGACAATTACAATACTTCCAACATGAAGTGCTAATTCGGTTTGCCAAAGCAAGTTTAAAGAACCGATAAACCGCGCTTGATGTTGCGGGTAATATGAATAATTGCTCGCACTAAATATAAAAATTATATGAAAAATCCTATTTCATGACGAGGAGGTGGGTTTTATTTATTTTCGTAGCAATTCATGTTCTTATATATAATAATACTAATACTAATATTAACATTAATATTACAAGTTTATTATAATAACTTTAGCACTTATGTGCTTGAATGTAAGGTATGAGATTGGTTGTCACAAAGATATCCACTCATGTGCTTGAATTAAAGGTATTGACTGGATTTAATGCGGGAAAAAATGTGTTGATACCTCGGATTACTAACACCTTCCGACTTTAGATTACCTTTACAAATTCAATAGAGGCAGTTTCCCTAATGGTTTCTTATCCCATGACAATTACCAAGAGCCAGGGTCAGTCTTTGTCACATGTTGGCATGTTCTTGAAGAAGTTGGTGTTCAGTCATGGTCAGTTGTATGTAGCTATTTCCTGTGTCACTAATCGAAATGACTTGAAAATATTAGTTTGCGTGGAGGATGTTGTGCCTACAAGGCAAAAAATATTGTCTACAAGGAGGTTTTTAATAATATAGAATAATATTCTTTATTCTATTTATTTAATTTTCTCTGTTCACGAATATAATAATAAGACTTGGTAAATAATCTTAAAACTCTGCAACCCGTGCATCGCACGGGATCTGCCTTAGTTAATATATAAAGAGTCAATGATAGTTACTTGAAATATTAACAAAAAATCATAAAAAATTATTTGGTTTCCCGCCTAAAATTCAATAAATACTAAACCAAGGAACTTTTTTAAAAAAAAATTGAAAAATCCCGCCTTTATGAAATCTGTTTGAATTTTTCGAGTATTCCAAATAAATTACGGATTCTGTGTAATCTGTTTGGTTTTTTTTTTTGCGTATTCCAAAAATGTTGCAGATTTTGTCGATGTATATCGGATTGCATTTGTACATGGTATTCCAAACAAATAAAGTTTTTTTCCTTAATCATGAGTTTTAAATCAATTTGACTTGATAAGTATAAATGAATATTTTGTTGTGAGTTATCTTATACATATAAAGATTTATAACCTTTTTGAAAAACTAAATTTGATTAACGTATAAAGTTTTAAGATTTTAAACCTTATTTGTTACGATATACCGATAACAAATCGGGAATTTAAATGATTATATTACGTAAATCGATCAATTCATTGTTTTTGAGAATTACTATTTGGATGACGATCAACCATTTGTGTTGATAATACAAATGTGTCTTGCTATGCCTTGGGGAGGTAATTCGATTATTTATTTTTTTTGCTCGAATTTGTGTTGATAATACAAATGTATCGTCCTATGCCTTGGGAGGTAATTCGATTATTATTATTATTAGTTTTTGCTTGAATTTAGTTTTGATTTTTTTTTTCCAAAAAAAAAAAACTAATTATTGATTAAAACAATTTATGTTATATATTGTAATGATTTTTAGTTTAACATTCATAGATTTATGGACTTATTTAATTAATAATTGTTTACAGTAATTTGTACATTAAATAAAATTCAAGTAGCAACTTCAAAGGATGTGACATTGTTGATTGACATTGATCGTGTATAGGAAAGTGTTTAATGATATATTGTGGTAAAATTCAAATTCAAGACTAACAAAAACTGTTTGAAAATTTTAATTTATGGAGAAGAAGATTTGGCAGAAAATCAAACCAAAAATGTTGTGTATACATAAGTGTTTAATAGTATATGAGATTTCTTACATATTATATATCTTTATTGCCATAATTT